GGCCTTCAAAATCATAAGGAAAAACATTTTTATAAAGAAAAGCATAAGTTGGTGTTTTAAATAGAATATTCTCTTCTAGATCATAGGATATTATTTGATTAATTATTTTATATCTATATATATATAATACAATTTTATACTTAAATTGCATTTATTTATTTAGAGAACTTTTAGTATATTCAATCAAAAACTTTTAAATATCAAATTATAGTTCTAAATTATTAAGAGAATTAATATTTTGTATTCAATCAGGAATATTATAATAATAATTAGTAAAACATGAATTTTTATAATTTAAATATTAAATATATTATTTAGAGTCATATTTTCATTAATCTTATTGATTTATAAGTAATAGAAAAAGTAAGTATATAATATTAGATATAAGATACTTTATTAATAAGAATTAGAATTATCAATGAAATTCATTAATATATGATTATTAATTTTCTATATTTTTATTTATTACTATTTCTTTATCTAGTTTTATTCATAATTGTATGAAAATAATTAAATTTATTGGATTATAATGCATTTATTTTTATATATTCAAAAGTTCATAATTTCAAAACTAATTTAAAGAAGTAAGGATTATATATAAAAATGAGAAAATGTTTGTTTATTAATATACTTGAATATATTGCAAGTTTATCAAAGAACTGAACCAGCAGCTGATGCAATCTTTGGCCATAAATCGGCAGCTTCTTTTCCAACTGGACCTGTAATGGCAGATCCTTTCATTTCACCCTTAGGATTGATGATAACACCAGCATTGTCTATAAAATAAAAGAAAATTCAAACCTTCAAAGTAAATATAATATCCTTCTCGACGTCTGTATGGCTTTCTTTATCTTACGACGACTGCTTACATGACTATGATAGTTAATTTATGTTACCCTTCTTTCTGAGTGCTGGCTTACCCTATTTGACTGAGCATAAGACCATATCACCAATGGAAGCAGAGGGTAATCTGCTCAAATGTCCCTTAATTCCAAAAGTAGAAATGACATAGATATTCTTGGCTCCTGAGTTATCAGCACAGTTGAGTACTGCACCAACGTTGCAAGCAAGTGTGATTCTTAATTTAATACCGACTTGTCCTCCTCTTCCTCTCTTTGACATTCGTAAATTTAATTAATTTTAAAAATAGATTTGTAAATATTTTAAGTGTTAATAAAGTAATCACCATGGTCTTTTAATCTTATTGAATACTTAGTTTGATTCTGTTAAGAAATTGATTTATGTAAAATTTAGAGCATCAAAATCATCAAATGTAGTGAATTTCAACGATTATACTAAATTAAAATCGAATTGATATTACATTTAAGCAATTCTCCAAAAGAATCAATTTCATTATCAGAATCTTTATAGCTTGATTTATCTGGATGACTTTGTTTCCTCTTTTATTAATATTACTCAATTATAGCATCTTTTGGTACAGATATTGATTATTTAAGAATCATACTTTATTTTATAGTACCTCTACCTGATCTTTATGATTAAAGAGTTTTAATTGAGTTTTTTTAATAAAGTGACTTAATATCATTAGTATGAATAGAGAAATCTAATTGAAATTCTTTACTTTATTTAGAACCATTAGATTCAGAATTCTTAATACTTTTGACAGATTATTTATTGTGAAAATCTAATCCAGAAACCATTTAAAATGATTTATAATTAGTTTCTGAAGTTATTTTAGTATAATGAGAAATAAAAGAAGATTCTAATGCTTCTAAAGTTGTGAATCTATCTTCTTATTTTGGTTCTAACATCTTTTTAACAAGACTTTTTAATTCAACACTTACATCAGGCCAAGGAGATTTATCATAATTTACTTAACCTTTAGAATTTAATAATTAGATTTGACTTGGTTTTCCTCTGAAAGGAGCATATCCTGCACTCAACTATTATAATAAGTGATAATTACAATATATAAAACACAACCAGCACTAAATACATCTCCTTTCTATGTATAAGGATACCCACGGAATATTTCAGGTGCTAAAAATCCAGGAGTACCAGCTTTGCTTCTTAATTCTTTTTCATTTATTTCTTCTGCAAATCCAAAATCAACTAATTTAATTTGCAAATGTTCTTTAGATTCTAACATTATGTTTTCCAACTTTATATCTCTATGAACAAATCCATTTGAATGCATTTCATAAAGAGCTTCTAAAATTCCTTTAATCAATTAAGCAATTTGCTTTTCTGATAATTTTCCTTTAGATTTATAATATTGATAAAGAGTTCCTCCTTGACAATATTCAATAATGATAACTAATTTATCTTTTTCTTAATAAACTTCATAGATCTCTTCAATACCTGGATGACTTAATGTTTTTAAAGCTATAACTTCGTTGTATACCATTTACTGCACTAATATGTTTAATAATTTTATACTATAAATTTATCTTTATGTTTATTTTCTTCAAACATATTTCTATAAATAACTTTTGCAGCAAATAATTATTCATCTCTTTTTCTTTATACTTTATAAACTGTAGCAAATGCTCCACTTCCCAATGTATCTATTTAAGTATATACACTATCATATCCTCTCATCAAACAAAATTCTTAAAGTGCTTCACATAATTTAAGTGTCTATTCAATTTAATGATCAAATATTGTTATTCCTATTCCTTCAACTCTTTCTAAATATAAAACTGGAACATTTAATCCTTTTTTTGTTTTTTAATATGAAATTATCACTCTACTTTCTATACTCAATTATACATAACCTTTAGGCTCTTTGTCTGATTCCTATTATAAATTAATTTAAAATATACTTTTTTGAAATACATCAACATGCCAGAATAAGTCAACTTAAAATAATATCCTTTTACACTTTTTTTCTTTCTACCAATTCTAAGCATAATTCCTTCAAACAAATATCCTTCACTATTCCAGTTTCTATTATGGTCTTGTTAAGTGCGTCTATTCCAAAATTACTTTACAGTTTCATCTTTCTTAACTCTAAAAAATGGCCATTTCGCATCTCCAACAAACCTTGATATTTTAAAGGCAGCCTTTGGTTGTTTCTTAATATGTATTGATTAAATCATTCCTATGTCATTTTTCATTGTAGGTGTTTTTGGTTAATTTTAATTATCTTCTATAGGTACTTGTTGAAATGGTTTGGAGAAAGTATGAGTTCTTTAAAAGTTTTCAAGAATGTTTGTTGAAAATTCTTAACCCAAACCTTTTATTAAGATAGGTTGATTATTATCACAATTTCCTTTAAACATTATTTAAGTTAATTTTTCTCTTAAAGGTTCTTCATTTTTTATTGTTTTTTTCATTCAAAGAAATAATTTTTACAAATTAGAATGATTCAAATAATCAACTATATTATTTTTTTAAATTAGAGAACATTTTAATACTATACTAAAATACATTAATTATATCAATTACTATAAATTAATATTCCTAACTTATCGCTTAGTATTAAAGAAAAAAAGTTAAGTTATTATAATGAAATATTCTTTGCAAAAAAGTAATTCAAAAAAACAGCAATAAATTAATTTTAAACAATAATAGTAATTAAAAAAAGAATAATTCTTAATTCAATTGTTATTTTATATCAAATTTATTTATATATAAATATGTAAAATCTCTTAATATAAGATAGTTAAAATCATAATTATTATTTTCTATAATTTTTTAAGAGATATATTTAAAATTTAATTGTTAATGCTAATAGAATGTAGCTAAATGTAAAAGAATTTATTAGTAAAATTTTAAATTATAATCTCATTACTATAAGTTGTTTTCAATTTATAATAATAATGGAGATTTAATTAGTATAATACAATAATACATCCTTCAAAATTAATTTGCTTTTTGTATTTTATGTTTAGTTAACAAATTTTGTATAAATTTCTTTTAAAATACTTTAAGAGAAATTTCAATGTAATGTTTGCAAAATAATTATAGTATAAAAAATAATGATGAAATTAGAATATAATCTTTTATAAATTAATAATGATAACAAAATAAATTCAGAGATCAAAAAATTTGATTTAAAAATTACAATTTCTAGTAATTAGTTGCTTTAATTTTATTTTTCATATTTTCTTTGTAATTTATCATCTATAAAAAATATTGACTACCTTTGTTATTTCTTAATAATTTTATAATATAGCGATATGAAGACATTCTGATCTTTAATTATTCTATTCTGCTGATTTAAAAAGCCTGTAAGTAAGCGTAATTACAAGAAAATCTAAAGAATTCTTAAGAATTAAATAATAAAAGCAATTATTTAAAATAATGAATTGCATGAGTGAAGAATTTCAATAGAAATTTTAACAATTACTCTAATTAAAAGATATATATAGTAATCGGGAGGTTTTACCATAAAGGATGTAAAGATTAAAGCTCTTTGATATAAAATTCCAATTAAAGCAAATCCGTCATTAATAACAAAAGAGATTAGATCAAATTATAAATAGTTCTATCAAATCCTAATGTACTTAATAGTAATTAAAAGCAGAAAAAACTGTATCAAAGTAATATAGCAGTCTATTTATTGCAGATTAATAAAATATATGTTTGAGTTGTGATAAATACATATTTGAAAAGAAGGTTGAACTACATTGTCATAATAAATTTCATCATAGTTATCATTCAAGCTGTTTGGCAACAATAATGAAACATTAACTATAATAATAATGCATTTAATTTTAATGTTTATGTAAAAGTTAAATTAAAAATGGATAAATTCTAAAATAAAGAGCACTTGATTTAGAAGTATATGTTAATAAATTAATGGAAAATTAACTCTATTACATGAAATACCATTTACCCAATATGAAATAATGTGCAAATAAAGATTGTGATTTTTTTTGGGTTTGTAAAATTCCAGAAAAAAAAAGAAGCCAACCTCATTCAAATTCTCATTCTCCTTTGAAAACATGTAGGCTCACTTATGTTAATTATTGTCCTAATTGTAGATTTTAATGATAAAAGTAGTAAATAAAAAGTGAATAAATAATTTATTTTCATTAAATTTTAAAGTAATTTTTTATTCTAGTTTCATGAATTTGATTCATTTCTATTTTTAATCTATGGATTTGCTCCATTTAATAGTAATAGATCAGCAATATCATAAAGTAAATATACAATTGCATAATGAATTAATGTGTTCCCCTTTAGCTATATTTAAAGTATAAAATTACATCATAATATTTAACATTTTAATCTATCATATACTATACTAATTCTTTATTCCTGATTAAGCAACAATCAAAATCTATTTATTTACTAATGTATTCCTAAAATTAAGCGAAAAATTTTGATTTTTTTTTTAATAATCTTTTAATTCATCATTATAATTTTGTTCAATCATCATTTAAACTACAATAATACTTGAATTTTCTTGCTTTATTGCAATATCAAATCTCTATAGATTTTATAATTTTAACTATTATTTATATTTCACTGGTTAAAATTTAAAGTATTTTTATCCTTTATCTTTATAGTATTTCTATATACAATCTCTTAGTTACTTTCATTTGTATGAATTATTTCATTTTTTTAATCTATTTTATTTTGTGAAAGACTATAAATTTATTTGCTTTAATTTTGTTTTAAATCTATTTTAGATTATTAGTTAGGAGTAAGTAAATTATTATGATAATTATGATTATTCTATTGAAGGCAAAATACTGATACTTTTGCATAAACTTTAGTTTCTCTAGTTTATTTTCTAAGATTCATCATCATAGCTTTTTTGTCCAAATTCAAAGCAATTTATTATTATTATTAAAGATAGTTATTTGATTAATAATCTCATTATTATTTTTATAATTTCCTATTAAAATATCAGTATATATTTTATATATAATTTTTTAAATAAATCTTCTTAATAAAAATATAATCAGATTAAATATTTGGAGCAAATTCATCTAGAATATTTTAATATATTATTTTATCCATATCACTTTAATCAACAGACAATAATTAATTTTTTGTTTAATTATGTAATTTACTAATAATTGGCATTATCTGATATTATTAATTGTTTTATTTTTTTTTAATTAAAAAATATTCTATTTTTTCAGAAATTTCATCCTATATAATTATGATATTAATTTATCTTTACTTCATCTTCATGATTTAATTTAAAATTTTTTGCTTAACGAAATTAAGATTAATAATAATTTTTTCACTAAACAAAAAGATAATCTCTTTATGTCTTTCTTAAGGAGATATTTAATAAAGTGATACAACATTAGTAGTTTTTGGCAAAGTATTAATTTTAAATTACGATGATAATATGCTAATTTATTAATTTCTTTATGTATTATAAGATTATTATTATCATTTTATATTAGTAGGAGTTGTTGAATAAATCTTATAATGAGAAATTAATTATTATTATTCTGAATCTTAATTAATTATATTGGCTCTTGAAGAAGGAGGATTTGATTTTTTATCAATAATTATTTGATCTGTAACTTTTTTTATTCATAGATTAAAAGTTCTATTACTGTTACTTTAAATTATTCGTCTAGTTATGTAGAATGTGAATTTTGTTTAATTTTTAACTTTAACAACATTTTATTTTAGAATTTTCCATTTTAAATGATGCTTAATTATAAAAATATTTGTAAATAATTAAAATATTAAGATACTCAAAATATTTCTTAAGTATATTTGAGATATTGTTAAGAAATGTATTTCTATTTTTAAGGTACTCTAATCTAATTTAGTTATTTTATTTTCAATTAACCACCATTTATATTTAAGGCAGGAGATTTAGCCAAATTATTAACTATACCTAAAGTCTTCATAGTTAAAAAATTTTGATAAAATTTTATTTCTTCTTTAAGATCTTATGAATCTTCTCCTTTTAATGGTTTCATGTAAACTTATTTAGTTCTTGCTGTAAATTTTGCAAATTTCTTCAATAATTACACTGTTTTCCAGTGACCTTAAAGTCTAGCAAATCTATTCGATATCTATATTCAATATCTAATTATAATACTTCTTTATATTTTTCAGAGTTCTTTTTGTAATGTAAGAATTATTACCATGATTCAAATAAAGCTTAAGCTTTAAAGAATAGAATACAAACTAAACTAGATTAAGGATTAAAATTTTAATTATAAGGTATTTATTAAAGTTCCAATATCCTATTTATATAGAACATTCATACTTTTCCTCTTCAGTCATTTCTTTCTTTTTATTATCCTTCTTTTTATCTTAAAAGTATGCTGGCTTTTATTTATCAAAAAATCTTCTACTTGTTATCTTATTGGAATTACTATCTATAACATAATTAACTGATTCTTAAAATTATTTTAATTATCTTCCAAATTATGTTACTTTCTCTTAACAAATAAATGATGGAGATATATCCAACCATACTTATTAAAAATCTTTCATCTAAATTATAAAATTATAATAATACTTTTTAAAAGGATTTAAGAAGATCAGCCAGTAAAGCAGATTGAATTTTTAAAATCATAACCGAGAATGTGAAATCATTAAAATTTTTTTGATCCTTTCAATATATAATATTATTATACTTTAGTGAGAATGTTTTCTAAATGTTTATGAAAATCATGCATTTCTGTTTTACATAATACTAATTCAGTATTCTCAAAAAGCAATCTATCTTCAAGAGGCTATTCTGGTTCAAATAGTTTAGCTGTAAATATTGGAATTTTGTAAGTTTCATCAAAATATTTTATTTCAATATAATTAACCTCATCTTCCTTATTTTAATGAGTGTTATTTATATCTATATTTATTATCACTTATTACCAAAACTATCAAAAAAATCAGAAAGATCATCATCTTCATCAACTGAATCCTCTTATTATTAATCATCATAAACTGGAAATTAATGATCTCCAGGAGGAGCTAATAGTCTTTCTTCTGTCTATTTCTTTATAACTTAATCTGATTCAGCAAAAGTTGAGAATTAAACTGATGGAGTTACATTTCTAAAACTTGGAAATGGTCTAAAATTTGATTCCTCTTCAGAATCTTCATCATCACTAAAACATTCTAAAAAATCTTCAAAATCTTAATCTAATTATGCTCCATCATCTTATGCTAAACCATTGAAGATATCATCTATGTCATCCAAATTTTTTAAAAGATTGATTTAGCTTGAATCTACAGAAAGAGGTGGTTGGTTCATATTATTTATTAATTTTATAATTATATTGATTTATTCAATTTTTTTTTCTCCAGATTAATATTTCTTTCAATAAAGCTTCATTATATGTAACTCTATAATTACTAAAAATTTTCTTATATAATTAAACATCTATTTACTTAAAGTTCTTCTTTTGGCATTTTTACTTCCTTTTCATCTTTATTCATTTAATTTTCATTACTCTCCTATATTTTTTTCATTAATTTCGACATTATTTTTTCTAGATCACTTGAAATCAAAAAAGTTACCATCTTCTTTTGTGAAATACACTTTCTCATCATTTGAATCTGTTTGCTTAAGTAAATCAGCAAAATTAAATCTAGGATAATATTTTACAATTTTTATGAAAGAAATTGAAAAATTCTTCATTATTATAAATATTTGCAATCAAAATCAAACATTAATAATAATTATTATATCCATTAGTATTAATCATTTTTATTGAGCATTTATTACTAAATCATTACACTTATCCATATTTATTGATTAGCAACTTAATTACTTTATTAATTTCTTCAACATATAATTAAATTTATATTAATTATTATATCTTAATGGATATTACAATCAATATGCTATGAAATTAAATGATCAAAAAAATATTCAAATTTTATTTTATTTTTGAATTGAAAGGTCTATTTAAAATTAATAATTTACTATATTTATATAAATACAACTTAATTTATTTGTCTGGAATTGACTAATCAATGTTTTATATTAATCTCGAAAGAATTCTATTAAGATTAAACTTCTTACTATTTTAAATACTTTTAGCAAATATTTGAATACTTATTATTAAATAAAATATTCTGAACATATAAAATAAATATATATTAGCTATTAATTTGAGACTCTTAATATAAAAATAAGGAAATTAGTAAAAAAAGATATATTTTAATTATATTTATTGTAATATATAATATCAATTTATATAAAATAGATTTCATACCAAAGAAATAAATAACATTTTTTAATATTTATGCCTATTTCCTGATTATAAATGAAACTTTTTCTTTAAGATTTATCAATAATAACCTAATTTAGATGGATTTGATATTAAATATAAATGAATTTTCAATTTGGAGTTTTGTATTTTTAATTTTATTATCGAGCATGATGAATGATACTTTTTTCACTTTAAATAGTACTTTTAGAAATCACTTCATCCTTAAAGCTACTTATTTTTATGAGTTGCCTTAAATTATATTTTATCTATTTTACTATTATTTTTAATGCTATTATATGCTTATTATTGTCTTTTGAACATTTTCATTTAATTATTTTAAAATTTATTTTAAAAATTAAATTTAAGTATTTATTTCTTCGTTTTATGAGGGAATTTGATGACCTTGTTCTTCATATTTTTTCATATAATCACCAAACCAATAATTTATTTCTTATCCACCTGGCTTAATAGTGTTTAAAATTAAGTATAAGTCAATTAAAAATTAAAAAATTTTCAGTTAGAGTTGTAAATCTGCTTAACTCATTAATGATTCTAAATTAATGAATTATTTGAAATCTAAATTTATAAAATGTATTGCTTAATCAATAAGTTCTTAGGTTTAATTTTATTACCCTTTAAAATTTAAAAAATGATCAACTAATAGTTGATGATAAGATAAATATTCACTTTTTTATATATTCATCTACATAACTAACTTATTTATTAGTTTATCATAGTTTTATCTATATAAATACTTATTATACTTTTTCATTTGAAGGTGATCTGTAATTGGATGGCTTAGAATGAAACTTAGCTTTTCTATTGGAGTTGATTTATCAATAGGTAATGAAGGTTCTTAGATTAAATTTTCCTAAAGTTTTTAATTGTTATGTTGCTTTCCTCCTACACATCCCATTAATAGGTAAAAAAAATAAATTAATATTAGCTTTAAATATCTAAATTCAAATCTTAATGTCTCATTTATCTGAGGATGATGATGAACTACTTTCAGACGAAGAATCGGAATCTGATGATGATGAGGACGAAGAAGAGGATGATGAGTCATTTGATGATTAACTTGATTTACTTTTTCTCTTTTTCTAAATTTAATATAATTAAATAATTACTTATATTTATTTCATTGATTATTTATTTTATTATGCTTGTTCTTATTTTACCTTTGAACTATCTTTTTGAGGTCCTTCATTTTCATTCTCTAATTATTTATTTTTTTCCTTATTCTTTCCATTATCTTTTTGTTACTCTTTTTCTTTTAGTTTCTATTCCTCTTATTATTTTTATTTTTCCTTCTCTTTTTCTTTTTCTTTTTCCTTTTCTTTTTCTCTTTTTCTTTTTCTTTCTTTTTCTTTTTCTCTTTCCTTTTCTCTTTCCCTTTCTCTTTCTTTTTCTTTTTCTCTTTACTTTTCTTTTTCTCTTTATTTTTCTTTTTCTCTTTACTTTTCTCTTTCTCTTTCTTTTTCTCTCTCCCTCTCCCTCTCTCTTTCTTTTTCTTTTTCTTTTTCTCTTTCTCTTTCTTTTTCTCTCTCTCTTTCTTTCTCTTTCTCTTTCTCTTTCTCCTTTTCTCTTTCTTTTTCTTTTTCTCTTTCTTTCTCTTTTTCTCTTTCTCTTTCTTTCTCTTTTTATTTTTCAAATTCTATTTATTTTTCATTTTATTTTTAAATTTATTGTTATTTTTCTAAATCTTATTATTTTTCAAGTTCTTTTATTTTTTTCTTCTCTTTTTTTTTTTGTTAATCCTTTTCTTTTGAAACATCTCTATCATATGATTTATGTTTATTTTTATGCTTATCTTTTAGTTTTTAATTTTTATAAGATTAACTATCACTATCACTTTCATCAGAACTAGAGCTTCTATGTCTTTTAGTCTTTTTTTCATTACTCTTTTTTTTATTTTTTTTATCTTTTTTTTATTTTTCTTACTTTTATTACTATTGTTATTATATTTTTTATTATTAACTATCGAATTACATTTACAATTAAAGCAATTATTATTCTTATAACTTTTATAATTCCTATTAATCAATAACAAAATCATTATTTGCTTTAGTATGAAAATAATCTTTTTTAAGTTCAAGTGATTCAATAAAGCTATGATCTTTATTTTTACTTCTTTAAGCTAACTCTCTTTATAAATTCAATTCTTTCTTTTTTCTTTATGCTTTTTTTAATAAAGACCATTATTAATGAGCACTTTAACAAAAATCAACATGTATTCTTCTTTCATCTATAATTACATTTTCCATTTTCATATAGGCTTCTTCACATGCTGCAATAGTTTCAAATTCTATAAAAGCATATTAAAGAGAAGATCCTGTTTTCCAATCCCTTACAACTTCACAATTCTTAATAAGTCCAAATTTAGAAAAAATAACTTCTAAATCTTTTTCTTCTGTAATTGGATTTAATTTGCATACATATAATACATTTTCAGGTGGTTTCATATCTGCATCAGGAATATCTCCTATCATTTCTAATGTAACAGCTCTTTTCTTTGCTTAATGTTATTTAGTCTTTTATAATAATTATTCTTCATCCTCTTCAATTAATACTTTCTCATCATATTCAATTCTTCCTTCAGCCTTATAATTTGGAGATGGAGATCTTGAAGGGTATATCATATTTGGCAAATCTTCAAATGGATCATCAAGAATATAGGTATGCTTAATTCTGATATTTAAAAGTGGTCTGCCATCATCATCAATATGAGTTCTATTTATTTATTATAGGACTTCAAAACCCTCCTAAACTTATCCAAATATTGTATGTTTGCCATCTAATTATGGAGCATTTTGTGTCAATAAAATATAAAAATCTGAATTATTTGCATGTGGTTTTGAATTTGATGTTGCTACAACTCCATATTAATTATGCTAAAATATACTTATACATAGATACTCTTAATAATGGATTGATTTAATCTTCAAAATAAGGTTAGTTGTATATTGTTGTTGGCGGGTTTACAGATTTTATAGATGTCAAATAGTCTTTTTAAACATTGTAAAAAAGCGCTCCATTATAAAATTTGGATTTGCACAATTTTATGAAGTTCTTGGCTGCTAAACTAACTTGGGGATGTAGATCAATAATTATATCTCCTAATGAGGTTTCTAATACAATTGACATAAATAAAAAATTATTAAGCGTCAGATCAATTCAGATGACTAATTAAATAAATAATGAATCAAAATTTTGAAGGATCTTAAACTGAAGTTCTACATCCTAAAACACATATGTAGATATAGGCAGTTTAACATGAAAAAATAATATAAGGGTTTGATCATGATCCTGATAAATTTTTAGGAGAATTTCAATTTAATTCACATTTACTTTCAAGACAATATCTAGTAGGAGAAGGTACTCATTAAAATCAATTTAATAGGAACACAATTAAGATTATACTTTACAAAAATTACTCCATAAAATATTTAAATTAAAGCATCATTAGCAATCATTCATGGATTTGGTGAACATTCAGGGAGATTTTTACATGTATATTATCTATTTAGAATAATAGTTAGCTGATTTTTATGCTAAAGCTGGATTTGAAATATTTATGATTGATTTAAGAGGATTTGGTTATTCTGGTGGTGCAAGAGGATGTGCAACATAATAATAATTACTTTAAGATGTCAAGGTTTTAATTTAATAAGTGAATCCATCATTACCATTATTTTTATATGGTCATTCTATGGGAGGATTAGTAGTTTTATCATTTACATTATTAAATCCAGCTATTTAAATTGCTGGTGTTATAGCTACAAGTCCATTATTAGGATTTCCATCTGATCGTAAATTAGATTGGTTGAAACTTAATTTTGTTACTACAGCTGGTAAAAAATTAGAAGACATGGTTGTTAATAGTATGGTTAATCCAACTGCTTTAACAAAAAATAATAATCAATTGAAACATTCATTTGGAGATAGATTAATGATTCCATTTTGTGGTTTAAATATGGCAGCATCTATATTATCATAAGTAAAAATGATGAAGGGTCATTCTCATTTATTTAATAAGCCATTATTAATTTTACATGGAAAATAAGATGCTGTAACTAATTATCATGATTCTGTATATTTCTTTGAAAATTGTAAAAGTTAAGAAAAAGCTTTAAAACTATTTGAAAATGGATATCATGAATTATAACATGATGAAGAATGTGATGAATTAATGACTATTACATTGGATTGGTTATAGAGACGTTTGGATAATGCAAAAATCCTTGGTAATGTTCCTACAGTAATTAATGTACATCCTTTAAAGAGAAAATAAAATAAAAAAATGAAAATCATTTTATTAATATTGATAGTAGCCTATTTTATTGTTTCAATAAAGTAAATTATAGTATATAATTTTTAGATATAAAAATTTAGCTTAAGGTTCTAAACTCAAGAAACTAATCATCCCATTATTATTATTTAAAAAATGAATAAAATAGTTTATTATTATAATTATCATAAATAGTAGTATGTATAAGAATATTTTATTCAAAACAATCTAATATTTAAATAAAACTTTAAGCTCTAACTTAAAAATAAAAAATTTCAGTAAAACAATATAATGTTAATAAAGATATTGAATATAAAAATTTTATTATTTACCATTAAAAGGTTTAAAGATATTTAATCAATCAAAATAATTTGCAGCATGTTTCTTTTTCTTCTTCAAAACTATGGTTGTATTTTTTCCAATTTTCAACAATATATATTTATTTTATAGGTTAAGCAAATCGAAGAACCCTTAATTTTTATTAGTTTCCTTTTTTCTCTTTTTTAAGAGAACTTTTTAAAATAAAATTTAATGGTTTATTCACAATTATTATATTTCCATCCTATTGATTTATATCAACTCTTTCATTTATTTGTTCAGATTGTATTATTGATCTAGTCATTAATGAATTTAATGAATGCACTTTTGAACTCATGACAAGTAATTATTGGATAAAGCTTTAGAGAGTATGTAATTAAAATTATTAATATTGATACAAAGATATATGTTGATTTCATAAAAATTAAAATATCAATAAATTATCAAACAATATTTCTTAGTATATTTAATCAATTTAAACATAGAATGTATCCAAAAATATATTGTTATTAATGAATAATTTCAAACTATATTCATAAAAGATTTGTATTATTAAATATGAAATAAAAAGTTACTATTTATTAAGTGTGATTTATGAATAGATAATATTATTTAAAAAGAATTATATATTGTTTGATTAACTATATTTAGTTTCAATTTATATTAATAAATTATTTATTTATTCACAAAAAGTTTCAATTAGATTCATTCTTTGTTTTTATCTTTGATATCATTTGGTAATTTTTAATAAGGTTAAAAATAAAATTCTTATTATTTTTAACAGATGATTTTCTCAAATATTGTATTGAATAATCTAACCAAAACTATAATAGTAAAAAATATGGATTCATAAATAATTCTTTATGCAAATAAATCAATTATATTTTGATGATATAAATTTAAAATATTATGAAGAGCTTTAAAAGTAACTTAAGAAAATTGAACGATTATTACAAAATCAATTATTCTATAATTTAATTATTGAATTGGAAATTTCTATTATAAAGATTATTCCTTTATTAGAATTTACAAAGTAATATTTTTAATTATATTAATTGTTGCAAATACACCAAACTAAAATAATTTTAATTATAGTTACTATGCTAATTATTAATAAAGTTGTATTAAAAACTACATTAAAACTTTCTGAACCAATTAGAGCATCTTAAAATTTAACATTACTAAATGACATTCTATGTCCCAAACAAAACCAACTATAATTTAATATTAATTATATTGTTGCTCCAGCAATTGGAGGTAGCCAAGCTTTATCAATTTATAAATAAAACTTTGTCAAATAGTGAACCGAATAAAATAAACAGCAATATATCATCATTCCCTATTTTCCTGAAACTGTTAATATGATTAAGAAAACTATATTCATATTAAATAATTACAATAACTAAAATCGCGAAAAATGATAATCATTACTAAAGAGCATATATATAATAACATAGGAAGATAGATAGTTATTATTCTTAAATGGCTATCAAATAATTAGTTTAAAATGTTATTAAAAACTGAACAATTATTATAAAAATGAATGAGCTAAGCTAAACCTAAAAAGACATAAAAACATATTCTAATATAAAATATAATATTACTTAAAATTTAATTTATATAGTATTTTTTACATGAGAATTATAGGTAAAATAAATTTTATCCAAAAAGATTCAAGTATAATATTTATGGTAATAATAATTAGAGGTGACAAAGGTTTATTAGATTCTTAAGGAAGATTATATTATTCTGCAAAAATTAACAAGAATAAAGCTAATAAAACATATTGAATTTATTTTATTAATCTAAATTGAGTAATTAAAAGGATAATTAAAATGTTCAATAATGTACCAAAAATATTTGATGAAGATACTATTTATCTATTTATTGATAAAACTTGTATTCCAATTTAAGTTATTATATTTGCAAATATCATAAAGTATTATCTATAATGTGGCAATGGGTTTATGATTTTTGTTATTATAAGTCTTATATTTTACATCTAGGTCAATGGTTAAAGTATTTATTTTAATATTGCCAATATCAAATAAAGTGAAATAAACTTGATTGAAAATGAATGTGAAAACATTAGATCTATCAAAATAGCAATAGGTATTATAATGATTAAAAATTCCAGTCTATAAAAGATATAATTATATTAATTTGAGAACTATTTATTAAACAAGTATTCAGATTATTTTATAATATGAAAAGCAAACAATATGAACATCATACTCAAACCTAGAAATAATAAAGTGTAATCATAAGTTTTGACCTTTTCTTTTATTTCAAATTATAAATCTTTTATTATATTTTAAATGTATTGACATTTCAATTTTTAACTTTATATTTGTTATTCGTATTATTATAGATTTATATTTATTGAACCTTAAGATTTCACTAATTTATTTAAGTAATTCATAATTTAGATTAAGTTTTCTTTACAACTATTTTCTTACTTTTCTTTTGTATTAATCATTTCAGTTAAAATAGATCCCATATTACTAAAAGGAATAGATATACCCATTAAATATGAAATAGTAGGAGCCAAATTAATGCTATATATTTATCTAACATATAAATTTCTATCTATTAATTACTAATTTATATATTGCTAATTATTAATAACTTAATCGAAAAGATTCTTATTGAATTTATATTACTTATTTATAGCATAAATTGTAGAGCTAATTTCATAAGGACTATCCCCACCATGATTACCATCTTAAGACATTCCATGATCACCTACTACAAATAAAATTGTATTATTATCCATTTAATTGTATATTTTATATAAGAGATCTGAATATTATTATTATTTATTCCATAATGCTTAATTACTATCATTATAACTATGTCCTGAATGATCAATTCCTAATAGATGACCAACAATAAAATCATATTTATCTTCTTTAATCAATTCCTCAATATTATTAATGATAATATTATCATCAGAATCTAAATCTCTTACATCAAATGACTCAGAAACAAATTTATAATCAAATGATTTTGGAAACATATGAAACCAAGTGTCATCTCCTAATAATGCCAATTTTTTATTATTTCTTTTCATTGAATATATTACATTATCTTCTTTTAATTCTTATGCTGCCATATTTGAACCAAAATCAATAAATGATGGAAAATTACCTGTTGTGATTGATTATAAATTTAATTATGTTGCAGTTGGTGTAGAAGATATTCCATAATAAAGAATTTAATACTCCTCTTTATTTTCTTTCATATCCTAATAAAAAGTAAAGTTTTTATTAGCAAATAAATCAATACGTAATGCATCTACCAAAATCAAAATGATTTTCATAGGTTTATCATTTGATGATTCTATTTCATTAATATCTTCAAAAGTTGTCTTAACTTAAAAATATCCCATCAAAAATAAAGAAAGAGCAAACAATTCCAAAATTAGTATTCCAAAAGAAGTATTATTCCACATTTTATTAAATAATTTTACAAAAAATAAAAATGTTGTCCTAAATAAAGGTTTTAGAATTTGCTGGCTTAGCTCCCACTGTATTTATAGGCATGGTCTTAGCAGATTATGGAGCTTAGGTTACATTGTTATCAAGACTAGATGCTTAACCTTAAAATAGTCCCATGAATAGAGGTAAAAAAAGTATGACATTTGATCTCAAATGTTCATAAGATATTGAAATTGTTAAACTTATGATTAAAGATAGTAATGTTCTAATTGATCCATATCGTCCAGGAGTGTTGGAAAGACTAGGTTTATCTTATTAGATTTGTTCAAAGATTAATCCAAAATTAATTTATTGTAGAGTTACAGGTTTTGGTCAAAATAGTCCTTTAAAAGAAAAAGCTGGACATGATATAAACTTTATTTCTTATGGAGGAGTTCTTGGATATTGTGCTAGTACAGGAACTTAAAAGAGACCAGCCATCCCAGGCAATGTTATAGGAGATTTTGCAGCAGGAGGAATGTTAGGAGTGGCTAGTATTTTAGCAGCTTTAATTAATGTTTAAAAGGGTGGGAATGGATAATAGATTGATTTAGGTATGGCTTAAGGAGCTGCATATTTAAGTTAATTTATTTTGCATTAAAAAAATGAAAAGTTATGGTCTAATGGTATTGGAAATAATGTACTTGATGGAGGAACTCATTTTTATAATATTTATTAATGTAAGGATGGAAAATTTATGAGTGTTGGATGTTTAGAAGAAAAATTTTATTAAGATTTTGTAAAAGGCTTAATTGAAGGTGGTTTAAGTTAATAAAGGTATAAAATTTAAATTATAATTAAGAGGTTAATTTTTATTGGAAAATTAATTGAATGCAAATGAATGGGAGAATTTAAAATAAGAAATATCGAAATTATTTGAAAGTAAGACTAGGGATTAATGGGAGAAAATTTTTGATTAATTTGATGCTTGTGTATCACCTGTTGTAGATTTGGAAGAATATGAAACTAAAAATTATTTAGGAGAAAATGTGTTTATTAATAGAAATGGTAAAATTGAAGTTAATGGATAACCTATATTTTCAGATTATTAATATTAAATTAAAGATATACCAAAAGTAGGTTAGCATAATAATGAAAAACCAAAATTATGATTTTAATGATCAAATTATTATAAATTTAATCATAAATATTCATTATATTATTAATTTTAATGATCTTATTACAATAACATTTCATATCATTAATAAATCTAAAAAAATTTACATCTAAATATTAGCAAAATATTTCACAATATTTTTAGCTAGAAATATAAATTAAGTATTTTGATAAAATTTTAAATACAATAGTTCAGAATTTATGGTAATTGAATTATAAAACGAATTTTTGTTAATAAAAAATTTGTAATTTATATAGATAATGTAATCAAAACTTATGAAGTATAGAACTCAAAATCTTTTAACGTTAATATAATAGTTAAAATAACTGAAAACTAATATACTACATTAAAATTAACTTTTATTAATCTATAATTCTTTAAAAAAAGTATTTAATAATAATTTTATGATTTGTTCTCTTGATTTATGCAATACCTCTATCAGCTTAGATTCTTTAATGAAAGGACTTATTATATAATGTCTATGGTGTCCAAATGCCTTTTATTGTTGTGAAGATTGCAGATAATCGGATAAGTAATTGAAAGCAATTAACTCTTTAAGCAAGCACAAATCATAATGTAGAGGGATATAATAAACAGTTCTTGTTGACAAATAAAATATTTTGAAAGAAATGCAATTATTAGAATAAATAGGTTAAGGGAGTTTTGGAACAGTGCATAAAATATTAATATAAGGTCAATTATATGCTCTAAAGAAGATGAATAAACATTAATGTTCAAAGGAAGTTAGAATTCATAAGCATTTAAATCATAAGAACATAATTTAGTTTCATTACTTTATTGAAGATGATGAATATGTATATATAATAATGGAATATGCATGTAATACTTTATTAATTTTTAGCTTAGGGAACATTAACAATGAATAGGGACAATTGTGATATTTAAAATATATTCTTACAATTATGTGAGGCTACTATGTATCTTCATTAAAAAGGTATAATTCATAGAGATTTAAAACCTGATAATATTGTATTGGACAATTTTTGGAATCCTAAAATTTGTGATTTTGGTTTAGCTACATATGAAAGTGTGATAAGTAGTTTTTCTGGAACATTTGAATTTATGGCACCAGAAGTAATTAAGAATTTACCTCAAACTCAAAAAATTGATGTATGGTCTTTAGCTGCTATATTATACTGGTTGCTTGAAGGCAAACCATTAGTATAAGGTTTAATAATAAACAAATTTAGGCAATTAGATTGAGAAGATGCAGTAAATTCTTGATTTTAAGAAACCTTAGTTTACATAAATAACAAATCCATATATTAAAGATTTATTAAATCAGATGTTAGATCCAGATCCAGATTAAAGAATATCATTGCAAGGTGTGCTAAATCATAAATGGACCTAAAGCATAAATACAATAGAGAAAGAAATTAATGATATTTCTACTCAACCAAGTGTTTAAAGATTATAGTAAATTGAAATTTAATAATAATTGTAAAAACATGATTCGAGCATGTTATAAAAGATTATATCACTTTTTGGTTGTGGAGGTAGAGAGAAGCAGTTTTGATAGTGAATTTGATTTTAGATTATTGAGTTTTTAGTTTTTCCCACTTAATAAATTAATAAATCTAACTGATATTCAATACATTATTTGAAAAATGAATTCTGAAGTCTAAGACATTATAGATTTATATTAATAGATAGTTTCCAATTTAGATTTAAATCCATAACGTGATGTCACAATGTATTTATTAAAGTGATACTATAATAGAGAATAATTAAAAAATGAAAGAAATTATTGCACAATATTCAGAATCATGTTTCCATTTTTAGAAAAGGAAATAGATAATATTCAAAAAGAAAGAAATCCAACAGGTGAAAAATTGTAAGGACTAATTGAATTTTTAGTAAATCATCATGAATATATAAATAGTCTTATCCAGTTTTAACTATGGATTTATCACATATAAGTGGACATTCTATTGCATAAGGAGATTTGAGACATCTTTACAACTTTTTATAAATTTTACTTGAATTATCAAAACTTTATAAGGATTAAGTTTAAAATACGAGATCAAATTCTACAAGCTAACAAAATTTTTAATAAGATAATTCAACTCCTCCAGAATAATAATCAGGTAAGTTATTTAATTAAATTAGATTATTTTAATGATAATGCTGATTATGAAGAATCATCCTAAAAAGAGGGTGGAAATTTTGAAACCAAGAAAATATAAAGAAATCAATCCTTAAAGGATCTTAAAAAAGGTGCTAATTAAAATAACAATGCTACTACTAAAAATTAACTATCAAATAATTAACGAAAATCTTCAGCTAGAAAAGTTGAATAGAAAAAAGTATTAAATTCAAAGGAAAATAAATTAAAAGCTATAAGTAATGATTTATTACCTGTTACTTAACTTTAATAAAGAATAATAACATAAGATCCTAATATAGCTATAAAATATAAAAAATAATAATAGTAACAATAAAAGAAATCATCTAAAAAATAATAAAATTCATAATCACCTAAAGAAGAAGAAGAAGAATAACTAGATTAATTAGATTTAGATTTTTAAGATATAAGTGAAATAGATTATTAGTTTTTGGAATAACATGATGAAGAAGAAATTAATTAATTAGATGATAAAGATCCAACAAAAGTTAAATATTTAAGAGAATAATAAAAGGATAATATAAGAAAAATATTATAAGAAAGAATGAAAGAAGAAGAAGAATTTGGTGAATAACCAGAAATTGATCATTTTATAGATTCTTAAATTCAAGTTATAAAATAATCATTAGGTAATATGAAAAATTAACCACCAAGTGATGAAAAAGAAACTATTGAAAAAATTATAAAAAATAGAAATTAATATAAAGAATTTTTAAAAGATTATCTTAAAACTTATCAATAAAAATTAAAGAAATAAGAATCATAATAAAATAAATCAATTCAAGATTAAAAATAATTAAATAAAATGAATCAAAAAAAAAAGGATGATTTAAAAAAAGAATTTGAAAATGAACATTTATCAATGTATTATAAATTAAGAGATGAAAAATTAAATTATTTAAGAAAAATGTAAATATCTTATTTAATTCTCATAGACATCGAATTATTTTTGAATTAGAAAAAAGAAAGATTATAGATGAAAAAAAAGATCATCTATAAATGAGAAGATAATAAAATATAATTACTAGAAATGCATTAGCATCTGTTGAAAATGCTTATAATGATAAAATTACAATGTTAAAAGAAAAATTATAAAATGAACGAAAAGAAAGGCATGTTGCAGGAGTTGCATAAAAATAAGTAAATTATTTTATGATTATAAGATTCTCTCAAAATTAGAAAAAGAATTAAAAGATGAAAAAATTAAATAAATTCAAGAATTAAAAGATATTTGGAGATAAGAAAAAGAAAGATTTGATTATTTAATGAAAGATGATGGAGAATTAGAAAAGAGAATTCTTTAAATTTATAAAAAATATTGAGAAATTATATGCTATTATTAATTATTTACCTATGTTTATTTAAATTAAATTTTATTTTCTAAATGATTTTTGATCTAACAGGATTAGATATTGCAATTGCCTAAATATCCTTAAATTTCTTGGTTTCTATATCATTTTTAATCAGATCAAAATACAATTAGAGAATTTAACAGAAATCTCAAAAAAATATTTTAAAAGTATTGACTTATTCTATTTAAGAAAAATAAAAAAAAGCAAAGTGATAATAACTTTTAAACTAAAATTACTATTTAAAACTAAACATCTTCAAGTAAGTGTTAATTCAATAATAGTAAAAAAAAATATTAGTGCTCAAAAGTCTTTAAAATCTAATGAATTAGAATAGAATAATTCAAAAAAAAATTAGGCTGAACACTATCCTTAATCTTCAGGGTTAATACTATCTCCTTGCAATAAAATATTAGGTAATAACATTAATAATAACTAGAAAATGACAAACTTATATCAGATACAAATCGATAGACTCATAGATCAAGTTTAGTACCTATACTTTAGACTCAAAAATAGTAAACAACAAGCAAATCTAGTAATTGTAGTTAGAATATAATTTAACTAAATCCAAAACCATCATCTGATTAAAATAAATCAATAATTAATTAGTTAAAAGAGAATCCTAGTTTTGGAGGATCTAAACTAGTTTAGTGTTAAGTAATTATAATAAAATAATTATATTTTAGTAATGTAAAGCTGATAATTCAGTTGAATAATCTGATGATATAATTACTATTGAAAGAAAAAGAAATATGAGTGTACCTTCAGAAATAAAAGAAGATGAGAACTAAGAATAATAAATTTAAAAAAAGCAATAAGAAGAACTAAAATAAAAAATTTAATAATAAAAAGAAATCGAATATACATAGTATATTCAATTATAAAATCATTTCCTTTTATTTTCTTGTATGTTTTTTGTACAATCTATTATATACAAAATGAATTCAGATTTATAACTATATGAAGAAATAAATTTAAACAATATTTTGGAGATATATTCATTGTAGGCTTGCATTGGAGCACTATATTTTAATGTATTTTAAGCACTATTAATAATATTTTTGGAAAAAATTCTAAAATGTCATTAATTAATAACTCGATTATTATTCTCTGCATATAATATCTCTATTCCATTTTACCTTTATTCAACTATAAAAGAGGAGAATAGAATGATAAATTTAGAATTTTTGTTGATGATTGGATGCATGTATTTTATATAGTTCTTAGTCTTTATTTTCTGTAGAATACTTAATTGGAAAAATTATCCTTTAACTTTATTTTTGACATTTTGATATTTTATAATTACATATATAATATTTTTTCGACTGATATTTATATTTATGTAGTGATCTATTAATATAATAATAATATCAATTTTAAAGATGAGAGAACATTATAATAATTATTCAAATATCAATATTTATTAACAAATATTAGTCATGTCTAATAATAAATAAGTATTTGTTTTAATTCTTGAAAAGAACTATGATTAAATCCAAAATAAGAATAGGAATTTATGATAAAAGTAATAATAACAAATATTATATATATAGATATGAAAACTATTGTTTTAGTGAAAATTATTGATTTTATAATCAACTTAAACTTTTGTAATATGCAATACACTCCTTCCATGAATCTCTAAATGTTTGGCATTTCTCTTCTCCATTATTTTAAATGCATTAGTTCATGATTCTTCTTACTGGGGCACATTTGCAACAGGCACCATTTTTGCATTTACAACCTTTTTTAGGTACTTCTGAGTCCATAATTAATTATTAAATTAATAAGGAATATCTTTTATATTATTATTAATATTCATATAAAGAAAAATATCATTTATTTTATTACTAATGTTCTTTGTACAATTTTTCATAATATGCCTCAACAATCCAAGGCACATCATCTTTTTCATATTTTAATGGAGGAAATTTGAATGAAAGTTATTCTATAATTTATTATTTCAATTATGCTGAATTTTTTTTTGGAGGATATAAGACTCCTAATTCTGTATTAGCTATATACAATTAAGTTGCATTTTTTTCCATTTTTCCCCAAGCACCTTAACTAAAATTATGACTTCCAATATATATAGATGTATAATCATTTATATCTTCATCTAAACCTGTAATAATCATAACTTTTAAATGGGGAATATTACCAGTATGCCAATAATAATGATCTGATCCTTAGTATTTATAAAATAGATGTTTAGGAAATTTAGGATTTTCATATAATTATTTTTTGAAATGCAATGGATTTGCAAAGTCAACTCCTCCATGAGTTTAATTTTCAATATAATCTGCTGTTGGATATATTAATTTCAATTTTGATTATTCTTCTTCTTATTGATTTATTATCATTTAATTAACTTTTTTGTTATTTTATTCACCTGTCAATGGTTATTTATAGACTCTACCTGTGCAACATTATAAAGCAAAATCAATATAATTATTATCTAATTATCCTATACTAGTAGTTTAATAAGTGACACAAACTTATTTAGGTATTTCCATTTTATTATTACATAATTCTTAATATAAGACAGACTGAAGTCTCATCATACCATATTTATATAATTGATTACCTACAAATCTTCCTGGGATTGATGTGATAAGTCTTATATTTACATCTTTAAAATCATAATCATCATATTTAATTTTAAGGAGATCTTCAAATTTATGAGATGTAGGTAATATTTCATATAAGAATTCTCTTAGCATAGTTTTAAACTCTTAAGAAGTTTAGTCTAATTCACTTTTTCCTAATTTAAAGTCTTATATCCACATTGCTTATGACCATATTGTCCAATCTCCTACATGTAAATTTTAACTTCCGATGACAATCCGAATAAATTTTGGAAATTTTAAAATCCATATTTTAGGATGAAATGCACCACCATATATACTTGAACTTAATTTTGATGGCTTAATTACCATCCAATTTGGATAATTGTTATATTTTTCAATAACTTCAAGCTTTTTGTTTTAATTATCATTATTATACACAATAAAGAGTTGTACACCTGATTTAACTATAGGTTCTAACAGTTCATCTTCAAATCCAAAACAAGTCATTAAAGCACTTTCCAATGTTTTTTTTGGCTTTTAAGTTTTAACATCTATATATGCATTTTCATAAAGGATGTTAATAAATGGTAAATGATGTGGTTATTTTTCATCTGTAGGATATTGTGTTAAACAATTTAAACAAAATGTTCCAATAGGAAAAGATAATTAAACTTCATTTTCTTCAATTTATTATTTGATTTCATCATCTTCTATGACAACAATTTGCTCCTTTTCTTTTTGTTTTTCTTTTAGTCTTTTTTGATTTTCTAAATAGAGTTCTTTCTAAACTGAATTAATTTCTATGTAAGATGAATTAATCTGGTCTTGTTCTTCAGACAGATCCTGAAGTGTTCTTTTTTTCATAATGATAATGATATGAGAAGAATTGAATAAATTATATTCAAATAATTGTTTATATTTCTTTTGTAATAAAATGAGTTTTTTTTTCCCATTCTTTATCAAGATTTTGAGTTTGAATTCGGTCTTTTGGATGAAGCTGAATCAGAAGGTGATCTCTTTGGTGTAACACTTCTTTTTCTGATTCGTTGATCTCTTCTAGGGCTTCTGCTATGTCTCTTTCTTTTGTTTTGATATCTTCTTCTTCTAGATCTGGATGATGAATAAGAAGAATATGATCTTGATTCAGATCTTCTATGACGGCGCCTAAAATTTTAAATATCTTTTTACTTTGATCTAGAATCGGATCGTCTTCTACTACGTCTTGGTGATTTGATATTTGGACAATTACGAGCCCTAGAAATTTAATTAAAAATTTACCAATGACCACCTTTATTGCATTTGAAACATTTATCTTCTTCATTTGGACCTGTCTTTCTTCCTTTACGATTGTCAACTACATCTACTTTCAATTTTTGTCCATTGTAAGTTTATCCATTTGTACCCTTTAAAGCCTCTTGTGCTTCCTACTCATTATTAAAGGTCTTAATTTCGAAATTAGTTCATACAACAAATGAATATGATCCCTTATACGCAACTTCTTTGACCGTTCCATACTTTTTGAAGATATCTCTCACATCTTTCTCATCCTATACTTTGTTACGGCTGTACCCAGCAACAAATAGTTAATTAGGGATAATATCACCCATTATTTTTAATTAATAAAATTAAATCCTAATAAAAAATTATATTAGATATATTTCATTCTTTTTTAATTAAACAAAAATATATCTCATTAATACTCACTCCTTCCAATCAGATTGTAGATTTACAATTTTCTAATACTATTCTTAAAATTGTCATTAAACTAAACCATACAATTCTTATAATTATATTAATCTTATCTCATCATTTTAAATTGCATTACATCATCAATCTAACTATTTTCTTTATATATAAAGAATTTATGAAATATAATATAATTATTTAGATAAAAATAAATTCAATCACTTTTATACTTCCATATATTGATATATTTTGAATAATCCCATGTTATTAGATACTAATTATTTTTTGAAAATTAATAGAAAAAGTTATGATCAAATTGGATTGTCTAGATTTATTAATATTAATTTTTTGTATCCTTTCTTAATATCGAGAGTTATTTGTTTTTTTTCAAAGCACATATTTCTTAACTTTATGAGATTGATAAATTCATTTCAAATAGCTAATTGAGCATTTCCTAAATTGTTTAGGATACTTTTACTATACCTTCTTCATATAATTCATTTTCTCTATTAAAATTAAATATTAAATATTCTCCTTTCTGTCTTTATATAACTATTGAATCATCATCAATGTTATAGTATTTCTTTCCTTTTATCATTTTAAGATTGATTGATTGTCTCTTCTTCCATAAATCCTATTAATTCTTAGAAAGAATTTAAACTTAACCGTTTTATGTTATGATGATTATTTTCTGTTAATGCTTATCGTAACTTACCTAATGAATTTAAGAAAGTTCATTTTAACTTATAGGAATAATTTAGCTTTTTATCCATTTGTTTTCTAGTGTTCTCTTCCATACGATGATAAAATTGTAATCCATGATTCCAATCAGTTCATTTTCATCATCATTTAATATTAACTAAACGACTTCAAATTCTCTAGTTTGTCCTTCCTTATAGATAAGGTATTATTTATTCCATTTTCCATCTACATCTCTAGTCCAAACTATGACATTATCATTCCAACTTCCAATTGAATAAAACATATCTTCTTTGTTACTATACAGAATATTAGTAACACTAGAAGAGTGTCCTTACAGAGTTGATTCCACTCTTAGGGTCTCATTTTATTTTTAGCATACTAAAATTTGAAAGCCACAACCCAACACCCAAATATTATTGGAAGAATTAAAGCCAAAAGCTTTACACTATTGTGGGTGTTCAAAACTAATGGTTAAGCTATACAAATTTAAGCATTCCCTATGATTTGGTTCTGATTTTCTTTAAAAAGATTCTGGGTGTTTCATTATATTCAAGGACATACTATAAACTGAAATAAGATTATGATATAATAATAATTAAACATACATTGGTTTAATAATCCAGATTTAAATTAAAGAATGATACATCATATTTAACAAATTAAAATTATGTTTTCGATATTTAGAAGTTGAATAATTATACAATTTTAATATATTTCCATTAGAATAGGATTTATAATAGAATCCTTAATTTTAATACATTTCTATAATTAATTCTGCTTCGATATCATTATTCAAAATTATGACTAAATTCTTCAAAAAGAACTTTATTATTTGTTTATTAATATTTTGAATATTTACAGAATTCAATATCCTCAAAGATTATTTATTATAATGAAGAAAGTATAAGACTCATTATTTAAAAAATCAACCTATAAATATTGATTAAAAACTAAAACTTCTTGACAAAACTAGAATCTTCGAAATTTAGTTAAAAAGCATATTGAAAAGTACAGAAAAGAATTGAAAAAGTGTATACTTCAATTCAAAAAAATTTATAAAATCCCTTCTAATTTTAATGATACAAGTATTTAGTTGATAAGATTAATATCGTATATGGCATCTAACTTCTTTTCTATGTATAAGCAATATAGTACATTCATTTTTAAGTGAATTTAAACTTAGGAATATTTATGCTATTAATAATATATATATAGAGATGAAGTTGATCAAAATTAAGTTTTTAATTATTAAAAAATAAATCAATTAACATTCGAGAACAATTTTCGTTGTACCTGTTTTTTAATAATATTTTTTAACAAAAGTACACAAAATATATTATTTTTCTAATCAAATTAATATTTAAAATATTAAATCACAACAATCATCTTAGTATTGATGAAACAAAAGAACCCATTAAATTTCCAACCAAATATTTTTGCTTTACAACTGCCTTATTTCATTAGTGGAATTATAGCTAATTAAAGTGAAAATTATGTAATTAATCCTTCAATTTATTCTCCTATTTATCATTGTAATTTATCTTAAAAGTTGATAAATTGATAAAAAAATATTTTCAATATTATAAATCATAGATATGCTCTAGTTCCTTTCTAAATTTAAGCTAAGTTCATTTTTAAATAATATTCTAAATTTTCGAAATAGATTTATACTTCAGTTATGTGTGTATAATATTATTTGGATGTATATAAATTAGGTCTGTAAAATATTAATATAATTTCATAATAATGCTCCAAAAGCTCCATTAAAAATATTTAAAAGGAATAGCAATAATATAACCTGATGTTTATTCATAATTGCAGACTAATAAGATTAAAAAGAAAACTATAATCTAGTCAACCAAATACTTTTACATGAACTGATTTTTGATATTTGACTAAACCCCAAGAAGTTAAAATGTTGTATCATTGATTTCTTGGATATTATCCTTTTATTTATTGATTACTCAAAAATATATAGGATAAATAGTAAAGTATAGTTGTTGCCCAAAAGAATTGTCCAGAATATATAGTAGATATATGAAATACATAAATTTATAATTTTGGATTCATTGAAATAATTCAAACTCTTAATATATTATATATAAAAATAAACAAATTTTCGAAATCTTTTTAGACTCTATTCATATAATATTGCTTTGTTCTTAGTTATCTTTATTAATAGTCAGTTAATATTCACCATAATCTTATAAATATACCATATTAATTATTAATTTTAATTTAATGTCTGAAGTAGAAGAAATTAATTTGGAATAAAATATCAAAAAGCCAAGACATTAAAGACAACAAAATTAATCTAGGCGCATTAGAAAGACAAAGAATAACTTTAATAGACCAAGAAATAATTCATAAAATAGAAATAGAGATAGATAAAGAAGGAATGATTGGAGATAATAAAATGGAGCCAATTCTAGAGATTTATATGAAATTGATATTTACAATTTTCTAGCTAAGAATTAAATATCTGACCTTATGGTATTTAGATTGCATAAAGTTAGAGCGATATAAGATCTAGATGTGGGAATTTGGTTAAACTTCATATTATTGCCAATAATATATAAGAAAATGAGGCTGAAACAAAAGTATATATTTAATTCATTAAAGGTAGTTTTGAAAGCTTTTTTCAAAGATTAAAAGTCAGCTGAGGAATGTGAATTTCAATACAACGATGCCAAACTTGATGATTTATCATTAAGAACAGAACGAAAATATTGATATAAAAATTATATATTAAATGAGATAAATATATGAATTTATTGTGATTCATATTGTTTTCTATGTCGTTTCCGTGCATATTGACTTAAAATAATAAGAATTTGTAAATAAAAATCTATATTTTAGAATCCGAAAGACATTTATTAGATGTGGATGCTATTTAACATATTCTTTGCTTCCATCTATATTATAACAAAAAAACTTACTTTGATTCTTGTTTTTTTACTTCAATGTTATATGTACTTTTACTTAAGCAAATATAATCCTTATTATGTCTAAGCAGCAACTGTATTGATTCCCATAGCATTAATTGAAAAATCTAATCTATTTATAATATTGAATTAAATTGGAGCTTTCTTGATATCAGGTCCTTATAATCACAATTAATAAATATTATTTGTAATTTTAATAATTGCTTTGGCAATATATATTTATGCAAAATAACATGTTGAAGAAATTTTAACAAAAGTAATAATATTTAAATATAAGTAGAAAAAGTAAAAAGTTGATTAAGATGAGAAATTTTTATAAGAATTACCATTCCCATTATTTATAGTTAATATCAAATCATAAATACATTGGTCAAATAAAATGGCTAGAGAATTGACTGTTAATTGTGGTGTTAAATAAGGAGGATCATTAAAAGAGATATTTTAAGATTAAGACTTATTTTTATAATACTTAAATTAAGATTCTAAATAATTGATTGTTTAAATGAATACTGTTTTAATTTAATAATCTCTTGAATAAAATTTAATTATGCAATAAAATAAAAATCTTCCATAATAATAATAGTAATAACAAACTACATAAATAAATACTGATCATAAATTATCTAAATACTAAAATCAGAAAGAAGATAATCTATAAAAATCAATTCATAAATATTTAAATGTAGCATGTTTAACATTAAATTCTCTTAAAATAACAGAATAAATTTAAAAAGAAGTAATACTTTGATTTAGTTTTAGATATTAACAGTTTTAATTAAACCATTTAAAATCAATTAAATGAGATTATTTATGATATGTATAAATGCAAATAAAACATTTTAGTAAAATAAAGTTCTTTAAAATCATTTAATCTAATAAATTAAATAAAAGTAAATTTATATAATTAATAAATTTTAGTGGATAATAAATGCTTGTAAGTTTATAATAAGATTTTTAAAAATGGGATAATATGAGAAGTTTAGAAATAATTAGAGAATCAGATTTGAAAGTGATTTCTTAATCTATAGTAGATTTATATAAGATAATTTTTGAATTTGAAACTTATGAGGTATCAACAAGTTTCTTTCCATAATCAAACTTAATAAATTTTTAATGTACAAATCATTATATAAATTTTTAGTTAAAGGATTAGTAACTTATTTAATTGAAGTTTTTGCTGGTAGATATTTATAAAAATTTACTAGCATAAATCTATACTTTGATAATAGTATTTAAGATAAAATGAAGGGTAATTCTACTAATTTTTCTTTAATATTTATGAGTATTTTAGAATTAATAGCAAAATATTCTGGAGATAAAAAACCATCTCTAAAAATTAATTGTAATTTAGATTAAGTAACAGATTAAAATAAAGCATATTAAATTTAATTGTAATTTTTGTGGAGACAAGATGATGAATTAGACTAAATTTTTAAAGAATTCTTTCATTAATAAGTTATGCCAATGGATGTTGATCCATAGGTTTAACGTTATTTGATGACAATTAAAAAATTATAGAGTTATTCTGCTATGAAAATATTTTATATTGAATAATCTGTTGAATCTATTGAATTATTAAGTGAACTACATATTTTTGTAGATTTTTATATAAGTGATTCTGAAGAATCAAATTAATAAGTATATTAACCACCTCAATTACAAATTACTTTTAGTAGAGAATTTGTTGGATAAAACCCAAATGAAATTATGTGGCAACCTAAAAAATAACCTTAAGTGATTGTTGATAAAAATCATTAAGCCATAATACGACCAATTAAACCTATGCCTCCAACCTTTTTTAACAAATAAAATTTACCAATTAATGTAGAAGCAAAATAACCTAAAAAATAAGATGAGAATATTGAAGATGAAGTTGCTATATAAAAAAAATAAAAAGTTATTAGAGAATTGATTTAAGCATAATTTACTAAAGTTGCACCACGTCTTTCTGAAAAAATAGCTTATTTAATTAAAAAGAAATTAGAAAGTTAAGTTAATAAATTTTAAGATATTTAATTTGTTGGAGATAATGAAGATAAACTTGATAAAGAAGATTATTATTAAGGGAATGAAGAGTAATCAGATTATGGAACTAGTGAAGGTATAAAGGGAAATAGTTATGATGATGAAGGATAATCATAAACTACTCCTAATCTTGATTCTGTTCCTACTAATAGAAGATTTATGAATATTCCTTATTAAAGTGAATTTTCTAATATTGATTCTCGAGCTACAAATTAAATGCTTTAAGGTTCTGATTTATCAATAATTACATACAAAAAACTTAAAATAGATTAAATTATTGAAGAAATTAAGTCTAATCAAATTGACACTGCTGATTTCAGTTAAATTACAATGAATGAATAATTTATTCTAAAAATTGCAGAATCTTTAGAAAAGAATAATTCACTTAAGACTTTGAAATTTGTTAAATGTGATCTTAGCGATTAAATACTTATAAAAATCTTAGATTCCATTACAAAAACTTAGTAAAAATTATTCTAAATTAGAATCGAGAGTTTGCATTTATAATATAATTTATTATAAGAAAAAGCTTTGAATCATCTCATTAGTTTAAAGTAGGGTTTAAAAGAATATCCTGTAAAAGAATTACATTTTCACAGTAATCTAGTAAAAGAAATTTAAATTAGCAAAGAGAAAGCATAATTATCAAATCTAGGAATAAAAGTATTAATTGGTTGAGTTATATTATATTAATATAATTAATTAAATAAAACTGATGGATTCAGATGAAGAAAAGCAGGTAGATCTTCCACCCATTCGAGTAAGAAGTTCAGAATTGAATCCAAAGTTTATGAAAGACATCTTATTAAGTAAGCAGATCATTTATCATATTCTTTTAGAATTAGATGAATTATTCAAAAAATATACGTTGGATAAGGATATTTGTGTTGAATTGGTCAAACATGTGAAAACTAATCCTGAATATAAGAAAAGTATAAACTATTATTTTATAAAAATAGAGGGAGAAGGTGAATGGCAATGCATTATTGGATCTAACTTTGGATGTTCCTTAAGTTATGATTTAGAACTTTTAACTTTTTTTGATTTTTTATCTAATGGGAAATCAATACTCCTCTTCAAGTCAGGATGAAAAAAAATAAAGTATCAAGATCGATATATAATATCAAACATATAAAAATGCATCAATAGCATTCTTTTTTTTTAAATCATCCAATTTACATTCATTTATTAATCATTTGACTAATAATATGGAATTCTGCCATTCATAAAATTACTGATAAAATTCAATATTTTTTCCATCTTTTTTGTTTTTTTATTTTTTCGTAATTCTGTTTAATATATTGTACCATAACAACTATAGGCTTTAAAATTAGAATCTTCATATTTCGTAGTTAAAATCACAAGGTTAGTTTTCACATTATAATCCATAATTTAAATGATAAAAATCAACATAAAATGAATAGATATTTTTATTTACTGATAGTTTATCCCTACAAATATATTCAAATTTATCCAAATTTTTAACGTAATATCAAGTTTACAAGATACGCGGCTTATTTTAATTTGAAAATTATTGAATAAAAGTTATAATTGATTCAATTATTTTAAAAAGAAGTATTTTATTTTATTCTTAAAATTAATAATTGTTATAGTTATAGAGAATAGAAAATGCAAATCCTTTGATGAAATTGTTATTTATTTTTAATGAAAAATAGAAATTATTTTCAATTTACAGGTTTTATAGAGGGGCAGCAGATTAAACGTTTGACCTTAATCAAAACTTACATAATAAATTGAAAATTAAATATTCTAACTAAATGATCTCTAAATAAATGAAAATTCTTCTTCTTAGGTTGCAAAGGATAGGTTGAAATAAATTAATTTTATGTATATAATAAATTATTATTAATCTAAGAAATTGCTTTAGTATTAGCATATATAAAGAATATTGGCTTATATATGTTATTTTTGACAATAAAAAATTATTTAATTACATAAAACATGTTTCTTAATTGACTAAAAAAACAGAAATGACTCTAATAACTAAATATAAATTATTATCATATTATTTTTTCGAGTAAACATGTTGTATTCGTTGTCTGGACTAGAAAAATAGTTATAGTTAAATATTGGCTTTTAATCTATTTTGACTATCTTTAATTATGATTTATGAAGTTGTAAGCAGAATGTCATAAAATTACTACCTTAGAGTAAGATATATAAGAGAGTGAAGAGGGGTGGCTTTCTATAAATAAATCTGCAATAAATTAATTTAGGAGTTGTATAAAGGTTTCAAGTAAAATTTATGTCAAACATAAATTTTATTTTTGTTTGTAAATGTCATAGCTAAAACTTCAAGTAATAGGGATTTCATATTCTAGCATTGCTCTAGTTCATGCGCTTAGACTTCTTCATGTAAGATTCAACCAATGATGCATGGGAGGCAACCAGATCCTATTAGTGCTTAGCAATAGGAAAATTTAATCAATTTAGGAAATTCAGATTAGAAGAGAAGAAACTGTTGTGCTGGAGATCGTTTCATACCAATGATCAAGAAGAAATTTAATATTCTTTCCGAAACTAAGGCTCCAGCCCAAGACATAGCATCATCTTAGGCTGCCTTAGAAATGCTATATAAACAATAAATTCTTGATTAAGAGCCTGTAGTGGAGCCTGAAAATGGTTCACTCAAATTTGTGAACTAAAATAATTTCTAATATAAGAATGAACATCTCCATTATATAGATTCTATAGATCCAAAAAATTATAATAGGTAAAGAATATAAAAATAATAAAAGTCCTTTGGTAGATCACAAATATTTTGCTTTGCCAGAGACTATGTCAAGCTATTATGGGAAATATATTAGGAAAATACCAAAAGTACCTTTTAAAGTTTTGGATGCCCCATAATTATAAGATGATTTCTATTTAAATTTAATAGATTGGAGTAATCAAAATACTCTTTCTGTAGCATTAAGTAATTGTGTATATTTATGGTACGATTTTAATTTAAAAGTAGGAATGCTTAATCATCAAAAGTAACAAAGTTACTAGATCTAAGTAATGATATAGTCACTAGTGTTGGATGGTCTTTAAGAGGTCCTTTCTTAGGAGTGGGAACTAATAATGGAGAAGTATAAATTTGGGATGCTTGTAAATTATAAAGAGTAAGAACTTATAAAAGTCATGTTGCAAGAGTAGGAACTCTATGTTTTGCTGAGAATATGTTAAGTAGTGGTTCAAGAGATAAATCTATACTTTAAAGAGATTTAAGACAAAAAGAAGACTTTTTCTTTAAATAGACTGCTCATAAATAAGAAGTTTGTGGATTAAAATGGTCACCAGATAGTCAATTATTAGCTTCTGGAGGAAATGATAATAAATTATATATTTGGAGTGCATCATAACATGATAAACCTATATTCAAATTCACAGAACATTAAGCAGCTGTAAAAGCAATAGCATGGAGTCCACATTAACATGGTTTATTAGCAAGTGGTGGAGGAACTGCAGATAAAACTATAAGATTTTGGAATGCTTTAGAAGGCAAATTATTATCAAAAGAAGATACTGGAAGTTAAGTTTGTAATTTAATGTTCAGTAAGATGGAAAATGAACTAATATCTACTCATGGTTATAGTCAACATTAGATTATTCTTTGGAAATGTAATGGAATGAAAAGAATAGCTACTTTGGTTGGACACACTAGTCGGTAAGAATTCTATTTATANGTGCCTAGCAATAGGAAAATTTAATCAATTTAGGAAATACAGATTAGAAGAGAAGGAACAGTTGTGCTGGGGATCGTTTCATTCCAATGATCAAGAAGAAATTCAATATACTTTCAGAAACTAAGGCTCCAGCCCAAGACATAGCATCATCTTAGGCAGCTTTGGAGATGCTATATAAACAATAAATTCTTGATTAAGAACCTGTAATGGAGCCAGAAAATGGTTCATTAAAATTTGTGAATCAAAATAATTTCTAATACAAGAATGAACATCTCCATTATATAGATTCTATAGATCCAAAAAATTATAATAGGTAAACAATATAAAAATAATATAAGTCCTTTGGTAGATCACAAATACTTTGCTTTGCCAGAAACTATGTCAAGTTATTATGGGAAATATATAAGGAAAATTCCAAAAGTACCTTTTAAAGTTTTAGATGCCCCATAATTATAAGATGATTTCTATTTAAATTTAATAGATTGGAGTAATTAAAATACTCTTTCTGTAGCATTAAGTAATTGTGTATATTTATGGTATGATTTTAATTTAAAAGTAGGAATGCTTAATCATCAAAAGTAACAAAATTACTAGATCTAAGTAATGATATAGTCACTAGTGTTGGATGGTCTTTGAGAGGTCCTTTCTTAGGAGTAGGAACTAACAATGGTGAAGTATAAATTTGGGATGCTTGTAAATTATAAAAAGTAAGAACTTATAAAAGTCATGTTGCAAGAGTAGGTACTCTATGTTTTGCTGAGAATATGTTAAGTAGTGGTTCAAGAGATAAATCTATACTTTAAAGAGATTTAAGACAAAAAGAAGACTTTTTCTTTAAATAGACTGCTCATAAATAAGAAGTTTGTGGATTAAAATGGTCACCAGATAGTCAATTATTAGCTTCTGGAGGAAATGATAATAAATTATATATTTGGAGTGCATCATAACATGATAAACCTATATTCAAATTCACAGAACATTAAGCAGCTGTAAAAGCAATAGCATGGAGTCCACATTAACATGGTTTATTAGCAAGTGGTGGAGGAACTGCAGATAAAACTATAAGATTTTGGAATGCTTTAGAAGGCAAATTATTATCAAAAGAAGATACTGGAAGTTAAGTTTGTAATTTAATGTTCAGTAAGATGGAAAATGAACTAATATCTACTCATGGTTATAGTCAACATTAGATTATTCTTTGGAAATGTAATGGAATGAAAAGAATAGCTACTTTGGTTGGACACACTAGTCGGTAAGAATTCTATTTATAAATTTAATAGTGTTCTCTATTTAGCAATGTCTCCAGATGGATATACTATAGTAACTGGAGCAGGAGATGAAACATTAAGATTTTGGAATATATATCCTTAAAGTCTTGGTGAATCATCTAGCAATAAATGCTAATTGGTACCACAAAATATCAGTATACGTTGATGTGATTAACTTTATATACTCATTTTTTATTGATTATCATAATGCTATTTTTTAATTCTATTGATGAACAAATTAAAAATATTGAATATTAACATCAAACATATAGTAATAATATACATAACAAGGGATATTTCAAATTATTTTAGAAATAAAAATATATAGTTTTACATAAATATTATAGAGAGGAGTGTCTAAAATTTAATATTTATTTTGATAATTAATATTATTATTCTCAAATTCTTTATCAATCATACATATACTTATTTTTATTTAATAATTGAATAGATAAATAATACTTTAATTTGTAATTCAAACCAATCATGTCTTAATAGGATGAAAAATAGGATGAAATTGAAGATATCCAAAAAAAAAGGATATTATTAAGTGAAGAACACAAAGGATTTCAAGAAATCGCAGATTTATTTAACAAAACAATTATTTAAGGTAATCAATCTAGAGTTTAAAGTCCATTGTAGAATTCTGAAATCTATTCTAATCATATAAAATAGTTTAATGATTCTAACTAATCTAATATTGTATAAATTGACAAAAGATTTCTGCTTCCTGAAGATGCAAATTATATAACTTATCTATCAGAAAACTCCAAATTATTAAAGGAAAAATATGTTTAACATTGTTTGGATAGTGTACAATCTATCTAAGAATTTGTTTTAAATCAAAGATCAAGAAGAAAAAATAAATATAGCAATTTTGAAAAAAAAGATGTAATTGACCTACATTAAGTTAACAATCAAATTAATTAATAAAATATTAAGCAATGTCAATAACTCATTTCTGAAGTAAATAGTAGTAAAAAACTTTCAAATAGCAGCAATCCTAATATTTAAAAACTATATGAGGATCCTGAATTATAAGAAAAGTTTTCTATAGTTTCAAAAATATTAGAAATTTTAAATGAAAAAAAAAAAATATAATCAACATCTCAAAAAATTTCCATTTTAGAGGATGCCTTGATTTTATGTTTAGTATATTTGCAGTTATCCAATTTAAGATAAGGTCAATAAGAATGGTATAGTTTTATATAAAAAAATTATAACTATTAGAGATCCTTTTAAAGTTTTGTAACAAGGTAATTATAATTTAGGATTAAATTAGAATCAAGGTTCAGCGTAATTTATATGACTAATGGACTTTATAAAATTTAAATTAATTATATAAAGTTCTTAAAGAATATCCAATAGATTTACTTGAAAATCTGACTTTAATTTAGCAAAATAGTATTACACTACCTAAGCAAAGCTGATAATAATATTTATTCATTAATTTTTAGTTATAATTATAAAAATATTTATCATAATTTATTAATGGAAAACCGATAATTAGAAATAGTTAATTCTATTCTCTCAAAATCTCCTCTGACAATTTCAAAACAAGAATTTCGATAAGTTAGTGAAATTATATTGGATTATAAATTAAATGGATTTGTAATGGCTCTATTAAGAATGCAAGAATTTTATCTATATTTTGATATACCATTGTCAATTAAACATAATATAGATTTATTATCATATATGGATGAAGAGAGAATCAATTTTTTTGAACTAATTGGATATACGTATTTCAACAAAGGATCCTACATTAATTTTTATAAAAATCTTGTTTTATTTAAATATAAATAAATTACTAGATTAAATCAATAAAACCTATTTATTTTACATTAAGTTATTGGGGATATAATAGCTTCTATTTGGTGGCATTATGAATTTTTCAAATAATTAGTTTCTCGAATATACAATAATCAATACATATAATTAGTAAAATTGATTTAAAATTAATAAAAAGGAATAGATGAATAAATCAATTTATTAGAATTTTCAAAATTTTCAAAATACTTTAAACTTATAATTAGTAATTCATTAAGTTATAATTTGAATAAAGATTAACTATTATAGAATACAGATGAATTTATTTAAACATTATTGAAAAAAGATGAATTAATATATGAAGATATCTTAAATTATATATAATAATCTTCAGCAATATCAGTAAAGAAAAGAATAATATACCATAAATTATTATTTTATTATTGGCTAATTAGTAAATAAAATTAATTATAGAAGGAACCTTAATAAAAAAAATAATAATAAAGTCTTTCATAATCTGCCATTTAATTTAGGAATACTTATTCTCAAAATGCATCTAGAATAAATATAAATTAATTTTAATCTGGCATATATTAATCTGGTATATTTGGCTCTAAAATTTAATCATAATTATCTAATAGTTCTATACGTTATAAAAAGGCTACAAATTCAATTATTTAATATTTATTAGAAAATGTCATAAATTTAGAAGAATCACTTCAAGATTCTGATTTGTACATGCAATTTGATGCATATAATGAACATTATTAGAATCTAGCAGAAAGTCTAGAAATGTATGAAATAAATGATTGGAATGATTTAAAAGTATTGTCAGAATAAAGCACTTAAATTATAAAATCAGTATTAGAGAATATTAATATTGATAAACTTGTTGAGGTTTATTAAGATAGATATTTTTGTTTGAGATCCTTTAGTTTAATAATTGATTGTACTGAAAATTTACAATCTCATATATAATATATTGATGAATAAGTATAAAAATCCTAGTATTATTAATTCCCAAGTGCAACAAGCTAATTTTACTAGTTTTATGATTTTATTAATCCTAAAAGCCAAATAGATTAAATTGAGATTATTAGATTATTAGGTCTAAAATTATAATTTACTAAATCATAATTAAATACTTTTTATAGATGTATATAATTACAAGTACCTGATCATTATATATTAATGGAAGCTGCTATAAAATTAAAGAGTATTCAAACAACATAAAATAGTTTAAAGAATCGAGATTGGCTATCATAAATTGATTAGGAGAATTGGCTTATGTTGAAAGTGATTGTATTCTAATAAACTTTAATAGACATTTTCTATCTTATAGTGTAATGTTGTTTTGAATAGTAAATATTTTTAAATAACTGGCATAGAATTTTAAAGAATTTATTTTAAATTATAACATTAAGTAAAACAAATGATATTCTTTTATATTTTTTCTAATATGTGATTTCTAATGAATAGGATTTTTAACATTTTTTAAATTTAATTTTTGTAACTGAACCACCAAAATATTCAACTAATTTATATTAAGAATTGCTAAATTTCCTTGAGAGAGTTCTGAATTTAGAAAATCAATAATAAAAAATTAACATATTAAAAGGATTTCAAGTAATATATCCATTTCCAAATATATTTAAAGTAAATTTTCTTATTGATAATATAAACCAAAAATCTAGGAGTCTTATATAATACATTATGATAAAGTAAAATTAAAATGATAATGAATAAATGTCTTAGTTATGTTATTAATTACATTCATCTGATTAAGAATTTTATTCTAAATTTATACCTCCTGAAGATACTCCTGGATTTGATTTACATTTTACAGTTGAAAGATAATAGAGTGAAATATAAGCTAAATTATTTCATTAAAAAATTGTAGAATAATTAAATTTACCGAAAAAAGAGGAAGTATTAAATGAAATATAAAAATATCTAAATCCATTAAGAGGCACATGCAAATCATTAATTAAGGAATTAGATTAAAATATATTTTCTAATTAAATTAGAGAGATATCAAATTAAGAAATTCTTGAATATGTACTTAATCATAAAAAATTTATAGAAAATCATGTTGAAAAAAAAATATCATAAGTAAAATTTCGAATCTAATAAAAAATAAAAAAAATAGATATTTTGATAGAGAAATATCATAATAATCGTTTAATTGTCAATTAAATGAATAAAAAAATTAAATTAGCATAAAGATCAAAATTCTACATTAAATCAGAATATCATAATTTAATTTAACCTGATTATATTGTCTACAAATTTATATATGAACTTATTTTAGTATAAAGAAATATTTCAGGTTCAAATTTAATTAACCCTGAGTTTTTAAATGTATTTGCAATGCCTAAAGATTTTAATGAGGATAATAAAAAATCAAATAGTATATAGATAGATTAATAGTAAATTAAAAAATAAGAATAGGATATAATTTAATATTATTTATAAATTGGAGAGGAAGGAAAGATACCTATTTTAAAAGTGTTTTTAGATTAATTAGAAATTGAAATGAATAATTAAATAATTGAATTAGAATAATATTAATAAGACTTAATAATAAAAGATCTTGATGATTAAATAAATGAATTTAAAAAAATATAAATTGGTTGTTCTGAATTTTGTCCATTTTGTGGAAGAAAATGTGATCAGGATGTTTTAAAAAAACATAAGCATAAATGTTCAAATGGACATTAAATTAGAAGTAAAAATTATAAATAAAAATGATTATAGGCATGAATGGTATTTTGGTTGATCATAAATTATCATTGTTGAGTTGTGAAGAATTATAGGATGATTATTATGTTTATGATTAGTAAATGTAAAATCTAAGAAAATGGATAGATTTAAAATAAAAATATAAAAATTGGAATTTTTGTAATTTCAAAAATAATGAAGAATTAAAATAGCATTAATTGAATTATTAAACTTATTGGAATAATAAGGTAGGTAAAGTTATTTGTAATTTTTTAAATTGTAGATTTTTTTAAAAGGAATTAGATTAATCGAATTAAAAAAATCATTTTATTTTTGTAATTGATGAATCTGGTTCAATGGCAGGGTAAAAGTGGAAAATAATGATGGAAGCAATTTAATAATGTTTTATAGATTTGCAAAAAAATCTAAACAATAGAATTACTGTTATTTAATTTAGTGATGATGCTAGATTTGTTATTGGACATAATCAGCCTGAAGAAATTCCACCATTAGAATAAATTAAATAATTTGAAATGATATCTGGTGGGACTAACTTTGAGAATGCTTTTCTTTTGATATTCTATGCCATTTAAAGATGCATATCATAATTTGATTTGTAAATTTTTTCAAGATATTTTATTTAGTTAAACTATTTTATTTTATACGGATGGAGATGCTGATTATCCAAAGATATCGATGGATTTATTTACATAAATTAATTAAGAACTAAGGTAGAAAATTGATATTTTAATATGCAGTGAAATCAAAGAATCTAAATCTTTAGAAAAAGTTTGTTATCTATTTTAATAAAAAATGGGTAAGGGAAGAATAAAAGAAAATGTTAATATCGATTAAGTTGGACAACTGCTATAAGAAAAAGTTTGTTAAAAATATTGATGCTTGTGATTGTTACTAATTTATTATAACACATATATAATTATATAAAATGTCATAACAATTTTATAGTAAATACAGACATTTATTTGAAGATGAAATGTTTGATTAAGTCAAGCTTGGATATGATATGTAAATGGCACCTCCATAATTACAATAATAATAATAAATCCCTTAGTTTAAATTTACTTAGCAACAACCTAAATTTTAACTACAATAATCTCCTATAAAATAAGAATCACCATTCAAAATTGGGCAAGTTCAAAATTAATACAAATAACCTTAGGTTTAATCTTTTTAACCTTCATCATAAGAGAGATCATCATTGAGTAGAAAGAATTTTAATGAAGATAGAATAAGGAAATAAGTTATGCAAGACAATATATTTAAATAATCTACATTAGAATAACGTTAGACAGATAGAGTGTATTAATTAAATTAACCTCAATAAAATTAACATCAAGAACAACCTTTATAAGAGAGAAAGTAGTAGCAATAGACTTATAATGTGTTCTAAGATTAAGACATTTTAGATGATTATGCTCCTAAGAAATAAAGATAATAAATTTAGACTACTAATGACAATTCATAAATAAATAATATTCATAAAGTATATCTCTAAAGATTGTAAATTTGAAATATATTCTTAGAAATGATCTTGATTATATAAGGAAAAAATACCTTGATCCAAAACAATTGGCTAGAGATATTGATTAAAATAATCCTTATAAAGCTGCTTTGATGTAGCGTATTTTATCTTAGATGAATGGAAATTAAAGAAAGAGTAAATTGAAAGAAGCTTTAAAAAATTGATATATTATTTTTATTGTACTCACAAAGATTAAATATATTTATATGCTTGTATTAAAAGATATAAAATAAATACTGATTTTATAGCTCATTCTTTCACATCATCATTCTTTTGTTTTGTAACTTTTGCAGAATTAATAGCTATTATTATAATATATATATATACATAAGACTTTTTCTCCTTATTTATCTATATCAGAATGTTGCTTAGGATCATATGGCCATTTATCAATTAATTCCAAAGGATTTTCAAGATAACTACCATCACCAAAATTGACCTTCAATCCATAGATTTTACCCTATAATATTAAAATTATTATATACCCAAAAAGATGGATGGCCAAGATCATTAACAACTCTTAAGTAAAATGTATTAGGCACAATGTGTTAAGCAATCAAAATCTTTTCACTTGGTCCTTTAGGAGTTAATACATAGGCTCTGGCATGATGTTTCTCATATCCAAAGTATACAAAAGTCCATTAATGCTCTTTTATATCGAAAGTATGTGACAATGGTTCAAATGATGGATCCTTTATTGTATAAGTACTAGCCATCAATTTATCTGTTTTAGTAAAGAGTGCTAAAGTTCTATCTCCAATAAATTTATCATCTGCAGCAAGATCAGGCCCATTGGTGGTTAAACGAACTAAAGCAGTAAAAGCATTTTCCATTTCAGGAAGTAACATAGCATTTTGGAACCAGAATCCAATACTATAAGATTACATTTCTGCTTTGTCTGTGAATTCAAAATTCAATTTATCCTTTTTAGAATCAAGATCATCCTGATTAGTTGTATCTAATAAAGAAACTGGCCATTTGAAATCTTCTGCTTATTAAGGTGAAACTGGTAATTTTCTATGTAATTTATGAATCATCTCTACAACTTTTTGAGATTCACTGATGTAGCTTCCAGCACCTAAAAATATTCTTGGGTCATAGAACCAACCATGGAATGCTTTATATCCAAATTCATTAGCACCTAAAACAAAATGAGCATAACCAGTTAAAACTTAATGAGTCACTTCAATATTAAGATGGACAGCCTTTTATTGATCCTTAAATAAGACCATACCATAGAAATTCTTATTCTTATATGCAGCATAAACATAAGTCCATTCACCTTCAATATTTTCATAAGGTAATTATGCATCTACTGCATTAGAAGGTTTAGATGCATCATATGTACTAAATTCATAATTTCCTTTTGTTAAGAAAGCAGATAAGACTCTATTACCTAATTCACTCTTATCTTAATATTGACGAGTACTAGAGAATCTGAATATAGTGTGAACATCTGCTCTATCAGTTAAAGTAGTAGGGAATGCTATTAACCATCTTGTCCAAACACCAACTGCATATTCATCAACTGATTCTGTTTCTGAAGTAAATGTTTATTCTACTTTTTCAGGTGTCTAAATAATTCTATCTTCTTTTTCAAACCATAGATATTTTTAATTAATCTGAATATGTCTAAAGTTAGGTAATGTGTCTTCATAACCTTTTTTCATAACATCAATAAATGCTCCTTATCCATATTAAGCTACCCATTTTTATAATTCTCCTTAAAATCTTCTACTATGAGGATCCTTACCTACATAGATTCCTATGAAATGAGGAACAAAATGTTAAACTCCTTTGAAAATTACTGGTTTATCTTCTTCAAATAAGTGTAATAAAGTATGAACTTCACCAACATTTTCATTATAAGCCATATATAAATATGCCCATGCCTTCTTTGAATTTCCAAGTTCAACCTTCTCCTCTAAGAATTTAGCTTCATTCCAATCTTTAAGTCCTTTTATTGTATATGTACTCAATTTAACAGTATCACTTGTACATATTTAAGCATGTAATGCTCTATCACCCTATGATTTACGATCACTTAAATGTTCTTTATCATTATTAGTAATTCTAAATAATATTTAGCAAGGGGAATTAATTTCTCCTTCTTTCTTAACTTAAGTTTCAGCAATCTTAAACCAACCAGAAATAGCATATTCTCCTACACCACTCCAAGTATCTCCAGTACTCTCACTTCCTTCATTATTATCACTTTCACCAATTAACTATTGTTAACCATGCTTTTATTTATGGATATAATCTACAGTTAATTCTTAAGGTAAAGCAAAACTTGTATCAATAGATTTCATTAATTCTTCACCTGATAAAATGAATGATCCAACTCCAAAGTGAGCTGCTACTTCAGTAAATAGACCTTAGAATGGAGCTACATCCTTTTCTCCTCCCAAAATTAAATGAATATAATCTCCAAGTGGTTTATGTAATAATTTTTCATTTGTAGCATGTTTAATTTCTTCTCCATCAAATACAAAGTAGTTTGCTTATTACAATTATCTCTTATAACCAAGATATATGTAATGCCATCTTCCTTCCAAATGATTATAAGGTATAGTGCTTATTTCATTAGGAGCATCATCATTCAAATCATAAGTACCAAATTAATAATTATCTAAGACAACCAATGCATTTAGAACTCTATCTCCAATAGCAATTTTTCCATGATCTACTTCATCATTATAAGTTAATCTTAAGATCTACATTTCAGATGGAGTATGCCATTATCTCTCTGGCCATGCTTACAAGAATCTAGTCCATAAACCAACAGAATATTCCTAAACACTCTCTATTTTTCTATCAGGTTCAGAGAATGTAATTTTAATACCTTATTTTTCTGGATCTCCTGAAACCAATGTTATTGTATCATCTGCTTCCCAATCAAATTTACTATCAGAACTAAACAATTTAGGTGCTGCCAAATAAACTTAAAGAGTGTTAAAGTTATCTTCTCTATAACTGCCATCTCCAATATTCAATATAACTTAAGCTAATCTACTATCGAATGGTTTTGTCATTGCATCCTTTACTAAGAACAACCAATAGTTATTGGAAACAGCATGTAAAGCTTATTCTAAACCTTTGTGCTCATCATCATCAGCTAATAAATAGTAACTAATTTTCTAATGATGTTTGGAATAGCCAAAATATACAAATGTCCAAACTTCTAATTATTGTTATGGGATCTTTGCTTCATATGTGTTCTACAAAGATAGGGGATTTAAATTATAAGTACTGAATTCTATACCATCTGTATGGAATAGAGCCAAAGTTCTATCTCCTATTTTTTATGCATCTCCTAACGAATCTGGGTTTGAAGAAGTGAATCTATAGATAAGTTATTAAGTTTTGACTGGTAATTTGAACCATCTGAACCATAATTAAATTGAATATTCTCTAGCCTCTTCATTTATGTGTGTAATGTGTTGATCCTCTTCAATCTTTGTAACATCGTGTTTTCCTATCAAAACCTCATATTTTTTGGATGGAGCTAAGATATCAGGCATAACATCCTTATTTTTAATTCTTTATAACAAACCTTATTTGTTATCAATATAGGCACCTGGACCAAGATTGAATCTAATTGTAGTTATTTATCCATTAAAATTTGAATAATATTTGCCTGCATTACCAACAGTCAATTACAAATAGTTATTTAATAATGAGTGCATCACATCCATTTGAATACCTGATGTAGTATCTTTATAATGAGTGAATGCCATGGCATGTCCTTAGGTTTAAGTAATTCGTTTAAAACTGAAATAAATATATGTCCATTCACTTTCAGAGTCAATTTAATAAGGAATATCTCCAGCCACATTATTTGATTTAGTGATGACATCATATGTTCCAAAATGATAGGATTGTTTTCCTAATAAAACCAAAAGAACTCTGTCTCCTGGATTATCAAAATCTTTATAATCTTGATTGCTAGTAAGTCTGCTTAACCCCATTAATTATGGTCGACTATATATAGTATTCTTATTTGCAAAATATTAGAATTTAACCCAATAGCCATAACCATATTCACTAACACCATGTAAATGTAACTTATCACTTTATTAGAATTCTATATGTAAAGGCACTTCACTACTTTATGATGAACATTCTAAAATAGTCTCTTCATGATGTGCTTCTTATCCAGCTTATTGTAACTTAATATGATCAGTTCCACTTATGAATCCAAAATGAACTTTAATATTTTCATTTTCATCAAATCCTCCCTCTCTGAATGCTCCATCTCCAATATTAATAACCCATGTTTTAATTTAACCAATAAATTATGTATATTGTTATTTCTCTTAGATTAATACTGAGAACACAGCCAAATAAAAATGATTAACTTTTTCTTATCTAAATTCACTTTCTGTAAATGTATATTTCAAATAACCATAAGTTTACTGTTTCTATTAAGAAAATCCATAATAAATATATGTCCATTAATCAGCATACTCTCCATAAGCTTCATCTTAAGTAACTAATTTGTATTCACCTAAATTTTGATTATAAGTAACGAAAGTAAATGCTTGATCTCCTCGTATTATTTGTAAAGTTTCTTCATTTTTACCATCTAAATCATCTAATCTCTTTTAAGCCATTGTTATGAGATGAGCAACTTTGCCAGTAACTAATGGTCCACTCCATCTGACCCATCCAGAAATAGAGTACTCTTCTGCTCCTTAATACTTGTCAAATTCAAATTAAATTGGTTCCTCCTTAAGTTATTAAGGAGCTCCAACTAATTATAATGTTTATCTGGCTACTGGATGAATCTAAGCCTTTTCTGGAAGAGTATTTTAAGTAAAGATTTTCAAAGTTTCAGATGTGTGAATGAATGATCCAGGTCCAAATGAAAATGATATTCTTGCCATTTCCCCATTGAACAATGGAGCTGATGTTTTACCAACAATGAATTCTACATACTCAAGTAAATAATCATGGAAAGTATCAAAGATAACTTCATCAACTTCACCATCAACACCAAATTAAACATAGCCCTTAGCTAATCCCTAATCACCATGTCGAATATATCCAAAGTAGACATAATTCCAANTTTAAAACTGAAATAAATATATGTCCATTCACTTTCAGAGTCAATTTAATAAGGAATATCTCCAGCCACATTATTTGATTTAGTGATGACATC